GTTACATAGTCCGTTATATTGAGACATATTTTTGGCATAGAAAGTGATCGAATTGGAGAATGATGTCTGAATCAAAGTTTTAGCCAGATGGGTTAGCTTTCCAACGCATTTTGAATCACCTCAATCGAACATCGGAATACAAAGTTATGATAAAAACACTGAAAGAAGGTGCAGCTGCCTGTTTAAAACAAGAAATTCCGTTACATAATCCGTTAAAACAACAAATTCCGTTAGTTTTTCCGTTAAACCAACAAATTTCGTTAAATAGGCACTTTTTATATATAGAAAGATATAAATAAAAAATCAATTTATAGATCTAATAAATATAATTACCATAAATCGATCCCATAAACCATCTCTTATGGGTTGTGGCATCGAGCAAAATGTGGGATATGGACCATCAAAATATGCTTTCATGGTTGCGGTGATGTTACGTGGTACGAAAGTTTCACCAAAACTGCATAAAAAATATAAAAAACGTAATTAGAAAATTTTCGATAAGTTATATAACCATATAAGAAATACGACATATTTAAACGTAAATCTAATAAATGTTATCTTTAACCACAAGTTGCTGAATAAAGATGTTAAACGACTACATGAGGTACTGAATATCCGTTGGTAAAGGATATCACTGTTACCAACTGATATTCCGTTGTTGAATATCGTAGTTAAAAGTGGATTACTTTTATCAACGGATAATCCGTTTCTAATTACCAACGGATCTGATCCGTTGGTAATTTTTTGGTAGGTGAAAAGCTGATTTTTAGTAGTAATGTCCATGCATACGCCATTGTCAATCAGCTCGACATGGCACGCACGGGTTATAGGTTCAGTTCATGAGTCATGGGCTCGGGTCATAAGTAGATGGGCTTTAACCTATATATATATATATAGTAAGATAAATAATTTATTTTATTCATTTATTAATTAATTGTATTAAGATTAGATAATTAATTATTTGGTCGGAAATCTTAAGATTGTGACGTGTCATCACATAAACGTTTATCCAAAAAGCTATGTCATCGCTCTAGCGGAATTCGAGCAAAGGACGAGCACTTGTTAGACACTCGAGTGTCTCCTGGGCACGATCGAGGGGCTTCTTTTGGAAAAAGATGTGTCCTTTCTGTTGAAGGATAGAATCCCACATCGAATAAAGATGAAAACATAAACCAACTTATAAAGGATTGTGCTACTCCTCTTAATAAGGTTAGCCTTATAAAATGGAACTCTAAATTTTAACATGGTATTAGAGTCAATTAAGTTTCAAAAAGCAATTCGATCCAATTAAAACTCAAAAAAAATGAGCACGAGAATTTTAAGATTGGTTTGCTCAAACGAACCACCATTTTATGGAGGCATGTTGAGTGATAGAATCTCACATCAAATAAAGATGAAAACATATATCAACTTATAAAAAATTGAATTACTCATCTTAATAAGGTTGGTCTTATGAAATGGAACCCTAAATCTTCACACCTTCAAACAAGACATAACCAATAAGTTGTGTTTGAGAAAACACAACTTCTTTTGACTTATTTATCAAACACAACTTCTTTTGACTTACTATAAATAAGACCCCTATTTTATGCCTAATTCATATCATCATCTTCCATATATTTCATATCCCGCCATACATTTATATACCATTTCTCATTAAATCTTTGCATCAAAGAAAAGAATACAAAAGACTTGTTGGTTAGCTATTTCTTGCGATTCGAAATGCTGTTATCCCAAAAAAGCCTCACATGCAACGGTTGGAAAGGTAAGGGGTGACGGTTACAACAAATGAAAGGTTTTGAAAAAGTCTGCTAGTGCTTTAAAGATTTGGGATTTTTGCTGCAATTATCCCAAAATTATATATCATAATTTTATTGATTATCAAGAACGTATAAATGGAACTAGATTACAAATCAAGAATTGAAATAGATAGTAATAGATGGATTCAAAATTCAATACAATCATCTATGATTTGATAAAAACCAAACTTTTACAACGTTTTTCGATTAATTTAGAATAATCACAAAATCAAACTCTCTTTTGTTTAGTTAATTCGACTTTCATACGAAATTAGAACCTTGAATTGAATTTTATTCTGTATGGGACTATACTCTCAACTCACTAAATTTATTAATTGTCAACAATCTCGTACGCTAGCGTGTTTCGCACAAACAATGAATGTATTTATAAATAAATGTGATGTGAATATAATCACCCTTACATTATATTATTGAGAAAAAAATCTACTTGTAGCTCCGCCCTTGTCACAAGTGCCAGGTATCATATACAGATCGTACAAAATGTCACTAGCGATGAAATTTTTTTCCCTTCTCTTGTGAGCATAGCCCTTTACATTCTTGGCAAGATATTACAAGGAAAAAGACCTTAAAAGAATCCCCACAAACTTTGGAAACTCAGGTTGTTCACCATATGAAGAGTTTAAATCAGCATTAAATGCCCTGAACTAGGTTTCGTCACACTGGACCAGTTCCCTGAGGTAAATTCTTCATTGCTCTTTTTAAATTTCTGAATCCAAAAGTAGGTAGGTATCATTGGCATGTTTCACAGAGTATTAAAAGCCAAAATCTTTCTGCTGCCGATGATATGAATATCCCATATAAAAGTTGCCACTTCTTTAAAATCCAAGAGAGAAACATTTCACTAGTAATGGATAGGATACTGAAGAGGGATAACCTGACCAAGTCAACTGGACGTTTGAGATTTGACAGATCATCAATAATGGATATACGTGTGATGGGGGACTTCATTTTTTGAAGTCGATAAAGTCCCCGCTACTCCAGTTTCAAATGCATGATAACCATTAAGTATACTAGAGCTCACTATATATATGGAGGTAAACTTGAGGTAAACCAGCGTACTAATATATCAACATTTACTTTTTAAGTTTGAATCATTTTCCTTCCAAGATGTTTCCAAGAGGTATTGTACAGGTACTGCCAAATAAACCTCCAGGATTGTGCATCAGTGGCCAGCAGTCCACATGAGACGAGTGTAATGACCAAAAATTTCTGGTCTTTGGGACCTTGCAGGGCCAATTTACAATCAAGCTGGGCCATACAAGGTTTTACATGTAGGGCTTGAAACAACGCTCATTAAACAGGCACAGATCCAGAATGAGCAAAAGGAAAGGCATGACTCATGTACATCACTAAACTATCTTGTGAGATGTGGTTCCCATGTCTTAAACCAAGTCACGTGGCCTAACAGGCATAAATACTAGGACGAATGTCAAATACAAACAGACATCCCTAACCTTATCTATAGGAATTCATGATCCTAAGACGAGAATCCACTTGTTTTATGAAATAAAACTGGCAACTGAAGAGTGTCAAAACAATTTTCCGAAAAAAAAAATGCAACTGGTGATAGTGAGACAAAGAAATTAATGCCTGGACAAAGAACATAAGACAAATGACTATGACTTGTTTCTTTCTTCATTCCTGTTCTCTAGTTTGTACCTTACACTCATGTGAAATAAAGCCATTCAACTAGGACCACATGCCTTTCTACACTCGTTGAGCCAACTGGGAATTATTCACTAGTCTGTAATTGTGCATATTGAGAAAAAACCAAAAAAACAAAAAACAAAACAAAACAAAAATGACGAGTGTGCTTAGAATAGTTCTATGCTTTTAGGCTCTAATGATTCCCCAATACATAATTCACGAGGAACTAAGCTCAAGAGACAATTCAATTACTGAATTCAATAGTATTGCTGTATTTTTTGGCTCCTGCTCTTCACAGTTCAACTTGATAAGGTTGTTGATTAAGTCCTGACCAACCTAAATATAGCACCCCCTGCCTGAGCTAAAGAAGTACGTAGGAGAATTTTTCATCACAGATAAACTGATACCAAAGCTGAATGCATATACAATAAGATTCATAACACAGTACTTTCAAAAGCACACAAGCCATAAGTTATAAATTTCTCTGTCGTCAAAGGTGCAAAGATTCTACAGTTGCTCATATAAGAATTGTGTGTACCAACTATATAGTCTGACAATGAAGTCTTTCCATAGAAGATTAAGAAAGAAGATTAAGAAAGCTGTGTACCTTACGCAAAATCCATCAAGACAACAATTTAAACATTTTCCATATTTGGCCTTCAGGGTTTGCATATCACCACGAAACAAGGAAGAAGAGCTCTAGGGTTAAGCAAATAAAGCTCCTCAATATTTGAATAAAGACCAACTTTACCAGCTAATGAATCAAACCCCGTCTGGCCAGCAATTTCTTGAATATTCTCCAGAGGTCGATGCACCCTCCCTGCAATAACTCTGCATACTATTAAAGCTTTTCTTACGGGTATATCATCTTTATGGAATTCTATAGATTCAAAAGCTCTTCCACTTGTAGAAGTTGTGAAAACTCCTATTCCACCTTTCAGTTCCTTTTTGGTCGAAAAGCCCTGTCTTATAATTCGACAAACACAGCATCTGTCGGCAATGCAAAGACTGGAGGATCCATTCATGCCAAGAGAGCATGATAGAGTAGTGCCGTAGAACCTTAAAAGTTCGTTTCCATCGGCTAGGCATCGAGGGTGTTTCTTAGGAAGCTTACTGGCCTTTACTTTCACCGTCTCCCTGTATTCCTCAAATCGAGCCAGTGTTTTCTGCATATTGTGTACTTTCAATACCCTTTCAATTCTAACACAGTGGTTGTCGGACTTCAGCCAGCTTGATCGGCAGATGATTTCAACAATTTTCCTGGATGAGTCACCCTCCACAAGTTCAGTCACTGTGTAAAAGAACAGTAAGCAACTGAGAAGCATATCCAATATCGAACAAATATAAACAAGATTAGCTAAATCAAAAGTCAGATATATAGTTCAATAAAGATCAGACTACTGGCTTAATTTTCCTTCTTTTTCCTTCAGTACGGCCCTTTGAATTTGATCGTGTACGATTTTAGGAGTTACATTGAATGCATGTTTAATATTAAACACGATTAGATAGTAGAATGACCAAGACTTGATCATCTTTTCCTTCCTTAATACTATCGAGTGCAATCAAATTTTCCCTAGCAAACATGTACAAAATGAAATTTTCCCTGCCAAACATTGTTCATTGGCCTTCACTTTGCTCATTTCGATTTGATCGTGTACGATTTCAGGAGTAATATTCATGTTTAATGCACAATATTGAACACAACTAGACAATAGAATGACCAAGACTTTAACTTCTTTTTCTTCTTTAATACTATCGAATCCTCCCTACCGAACATGCACACAGTTGTTCTTCTATACCAAACATGCGCACAATGAAATCACCCCTACCAAACTTACTCAAAGGAAATGAAGGCACACGGTATTTTGCCATATAATTAACCGTTATGTACCATTATAGAGATGCAATAGAGAAACTTTTTAAGGTATAAACGTGCATATTTTTATCTCTAAACACAAGGTAGGAGAATCTGGGAGTAGGATTCAAACTACTAACAGGAAATACAGAGAAGACAAGATCAGTTATTTAGCAAAAAGTCACCTTAAGTACCTCATGTATTTCCCTGCTAATTTATCATATGAAATGAAAAGCAGTAGAAATACAAAGATTTCATGTTTCTAGACTGACCAAATTTGTGTTCTTCCAGGCCTCAAAAATGAAAAAGTAGTAATACTAATTGAGACATTCCCAACCCCAGAAAGATGATTTTACAACAGATTTCTAGTATAAATTTTCAAGAAGAAAATCTAATATACAACAAGGGTCCATAAATTGATTTAAAGTTGCTATAAAGTATAAAACCAGTAAGAAAGGAGAAGGTTCTTTACCAGCATGCTTTGAAAGATGATGTGATTCAAGAGCTTCCCACTTTCCAAACTGTTCTCCACATTTGTGGCATGCAATAGAAGAAGACCCATTAGTATCTTTATCAAGGGATGCCCTTGGTTTTAAGGGCAAACCATTAGTCCCCTCAAAATTTGCAGAATTTCCATTCCCAATGCCCTCAAAAGGAGAAGTCTTTCTAGGAGTAGTTGCAGCATTTCTGTAGGATGGATTGAAGTAATGCATTGTAGGGTTCCCTCCAGGGCCAGGAGTACCAGGTCTTAAAGTTCCCACAAATGGAGAGCCAGCACCACCATTATCAACACCACCACCACCGTGAAGCCCACCTTCTTGCCACCCACCAAAACCAGTGATTTTGAGTTCACATGTTGAGTTACTCAAAATCACTTCATGAGTTATTGGGTTGAGAAATTCACTACTCCCTATGGATCTTGGACTACAACTTGGGGGCTTTTCCAAATGCCTCTTGCTCCCATGAATAACATCTTTCAGATTTGCTATAGACCTTGAACAACCAGACCTGCCTGATTTTCTAGTCAATATTGCACTCAACTGCTTCCTGGTCTTTGGATCACACACATCTGATGGCTCTGATTTACAATGCAAGGATTTCTTCAATGAAAACCAAACTGTTGGCATATCTTTCTTCTTCTCCCCCATTCACTGACTTCTCCCTTTTCAATATATTTTTGCCTCTTTTACTCCACCAAACTCCTAAATGTACAAACAGTCTGTACATTAAGAATTCAACACTTTGAAGCTTTTCTCCTTAAATGCCATAAATATTGAATGGGATTACAAGAAAATATGAATATTGAGTCCAAGAAGAAGATGACAGCGGAGACGTGATTAAGAAAATTTTTGACAGAAAGTAAATGACACATTAACTGAGTTCACAATTGAACACGGGCGGTGAAGAACAAATTCAGAAGCGACAACGCTTTAAATGCTATCAAACTCATCACTTTTGAATTCAATTTTCATCACAGTTTTGAATAATCTTTTTTTAATGAATTTTACCCAACCAGGATTTTAGATATTGTAAGCATGCTAAGACGTACTCACTGCTTGCATTTATAAAAATCGAGTACCAACATGGATCCTGGGACCTGTCGAGATATGATTTATCTTTACCATAGTTTCTCTTTTCGCATTTGTGGGACAGATTTTTCGGTAGTGGGCAACATTTTCTGTTCTTTTCATTGACAGTGTTGTCAAAATGTTTTCGGATTATTCAAGTTTACTGTTTAATACGTCAAAGTGTAGATGCATTTTTATATGTCACTAGTCGTATGGTAAAATAGTTTAACCATAGCTAGTTTGACGGTAAAAGCTCACCATCCATGTAAAACAGTCGACTCAGACGTATTTATATTCATCTCTAGAATTCCTTTTAGAGACTGTTGGATAATTTTTATGGGTTTTGTCATTGTACATATTCGACTTCAAATAGGATTCGAACTTACTATCGATAAGTTAACAACCAATCGTTTTATCATTGAGTTGTTGATGAACAACGAGATATTAGACTTCATATGGTTCATTTTTGACTCAATTCACGATCAGTGTGAGCTAGAAGCTTCCTTCGTAACTAACCGTGTGATTTGTCGAGGATAGCTCAAGAAAATATTTACTTCTTTTACTTCATACTTGAATATAGCATTTCTTGAAATATTAGTGTGGTAGACTAAGAATTATGGAAACCAAAATGCACTAAAATTTGGTCAAGGAGAAACTATTTTTTATTAGGTTAAATTTACCAATGGCCACACAACTTTATACTTAGTGTCGTCATGGCCAGCCAATTTGATTTTATTTTACTATGATAGCCTAATTTCATACAACGTTATAAAAGTTTTTTTTATTTTAAAAATGTTTTTTCTTTAAATAAGTTTTTATTTTATTTTATTTTTCTAAGTAACTTTTTTTAAAAAATAAGTTTTATTTTATTTTGAAAACATTTTTTATATAAGTTTTTATTTCATTTTATATTATTTTTCTAAGAAAATTTCTTTTAAATAAATTTTTATTTTATTTTATATTTTTAAGTAACATTTTTTTAAAAATAAGTTTTATTTTTATTTTATTTTTTTAAGTAAAATAAGTTTTTATTTTATTTTGTCTTTTAACATAAGTTTTTATTTTAATTTTATTTTAATTTATTTTATATATATAATGTAAAGTTACCGTTTTACCTTTTTTAAAATTAATGAAAATTATGAAAAGAAGTTAGGAGGTTATGGTGAACGTTATATGAAATTGGGTGGTCATGATAAAATAAAATCAAATCGTGTGGTCATGATGAAACAAAATCAGATTGGGTGACCATGATGACACTACGTGTAAAATTGGATGGTCATCGATGATTTAACCAATTTTTTTATTTTATACGATTTGTCGATTATTAATGCAGATTAATTAAAATAATGAATTCCAAACTCCAATGACAAATAGTAATTTAGCTGTAAAAGCAAAGATAATTATTACACGTTGGACACCATTCTCCATGCAGCTTTGGATTCAGTTTCGAAAAAAGAAATGTAAAATTATGAAAAAAGAGACATTAACGTTATATTATTAATTTCTACAAATATATATTTTTTAGTTTGGTCATTTATTGGTCTAATGAACTTATTCTCTTTTCAAATTTTAAAATATATTAAAACTTATGCAACAACAATACTTAATTGATTGTTCTAATAAATTATGATATAGCCATAGATTAAATCACAATGAATAACAGAATGGAGACTTCAAAACGAGAGCATTAATTGTACTTGAGTTGGTAATTATATGTTCAATTTGCTTTTAAAATTTTTGGCCCAATAATTTAAACCTTTATGTTTAAAAGGAATGGAGACTTCAAATGAAGAATAATGATATTCGATCCCACGGATGCTTAGAGCTTGTTTGAGAGAGATTAAAATCGGATTAAAATTGAAAAATTAGTCGTTATTGTTTACTTTTATTAGACGAGTGGGACCCAATAACGGATGTATTTCCAATTTTAATTGAACTAAAATCATTTCCAAACAAGCTCTTAACATCAATCGATGTGATAGTTACTATCACTTTACACAATATAGAATGAAATTAAATAGAAAAGATTTACCGGGTTGGCGATCTTCATTTTCTTACATGTAAATTATAAAGGGGAAAAAAAGTAGAAATCAAGATCCAAAAAGAAAAGGCAAGACAAAAGATTTTGTATAAAATTCAAGGTATTGCCATATTAAGGGTGTGTTTGTCTCCCATTATTGGGAGACAAATAGAGTAATGAATAGTATTTTTTGGAGAATGTGTGGTTGAAAAGTGAAATAACTTTATTGGTTTATGTGTAAAATATTTTATTTGGTGAATGTGTGGTGAAAAATATTATTTTAGCAAATAATTTTTTGGAATAATAGTAGACAACCAGGAACAAAGATATCAATATATTTCTACGTATTGTTGACATTTTTCTTGAAACTCTTTGAAAGACATTAGAACCGAATTTAACTGGCTAGGTCAGTTCAAATTATATTTAAGGATCCGTTTGATTGCAAATGTAAAAAATTGGTGGAAAGAAAATATTTTATAGGGAATTGATTTGCCTAATTTTATTTGGTGAATGTGTGGTGGAAAATATTATTTTAGCAAATAATTTTTTGGAATAATAGTAGACAAACAGTGGCTAAGATATCAATATATTTCTACGTACTGTTGACATTTTTCTCAAAACTCTTTGAACCACATTAGAACTGAATTTAACTGGCTAGGTCGGTTCAAATTATATTTAAGGATCCGTTTGATTGCAAATGTAGAAAATTGGTGAAAAGAAAATGTTTTATAGGGAATTGATTTGCTTAGAAATTGTTTTACTGTAAATTGTAATTAATTGTATTTGATTTGTATAATTTTTCATGGAAAATGTTGAAAGTTTGGTGTTCGTTTGGCTTCTTTTTTATTGAAATTATCCATTAAGTGATAATATTTTCTACCATTTGGTCTAGAATTTGTTCCAATTGTCAAAAAAAATTAGAAAAAAATAATCATACTGAATACCATTCGTTTGGCTTTGTTTTGTATGAAAATTCTCAATAAAAGTGAATTTTTTTTTTACCATTGTGCCTAGAATTTTTTCCAATTGTCAAAAAAAAAAAAAAATGGAAAATATTTACCTACCAAAACATCATGATTTTATTTTCCTCAAAAATGTAAAAATTTTGGAAAGTGGGAAAATTTTTCCTATCAAACACTACAAAAGTTGGAAAATAAAAAAAAAAAATTCTATCAAACGAAGGCTAAGTGCCTTTTGTTCTCATATTCCATTTTATGAATACCTACGAAATCATTTAGCCCAGTTTGACCCTCATTAAATTTATAATACATTTTTATATCCCTTCTTTTTAATTACAAAATATTCAATAAAATAATATTTACACATGAATAAAAAAAAATTCTTTCTTTTTAACCACGCATTCTCCTAAAAAAACATTATTCCAAAAATTATAACATCAAATAATAGGGGTCAATCGGGGGCTTAGGGTGTGTTTCATTGCCATCATAGATCTTGAATGGAAAGAAAATAAGTTTTAGGCAATTGAATTATCTAAAACTTATTTGTATGGAAATTATTAATTAAATGTATTTGATTGATTTAATTTTTAATTTAGAAAATATTAGACATGTTCATCTTTTATCGGTGGGTAGACGAGAGAAATGAAGATAGATGGAGATTTTTTTTAAAAAAAAAAAAGATCACGTGATTAACTCTTGAAAAATATCTTTCATAGAAAAAATGTCGGACAAACACTTCAAAAGTAGAAATTTTGATTAAAAAATGATATTTTTCATGAAAAATAAAGTCAATCAAATACAGCATCAATTCTACGTATAGAATTTCGTTCAAGTATATTTTTAACTAAAACTAGATTAAATAGCAATAAATGCGAGCACATGTTCCGAGAACGATTAGTTGAATGATACCATATTTATACAAGGGGTGAAGATCGTATGAATGTGAATTGTTGAATCATGAATGGTACATGAAATTTTACGATGCTTCCTTCATAATTATTCCTCCCTCAGACCAGTTGGAATGCCCTATGTTTTAAAACGATGTCGTTGTTGATAAATTCAATTGGATAGTGATAGATTATGCCACGTCCAAATCAGAGCACATATTTAGTTGGACCGTCCCCTATGTTAATTCAGTGTGATTCAACCAAAACTGAAAAACTTACCATTCCAATCTACAATTTAATTTTAAAACTTCAATTTTAATTAGCAATCATAAAATGTTTAAATAGTACCAGCCAATCATAATTTGCTAGCTTCATTCTTTTCATTTTTCTTTATCAAAAATTTGCGAAGGAGGTGATAAATCGTAGCAGTTATGCGGTAAAAGGACGTCTGGCCGATTTGGGACATATCGGCTATGATTTAAATGTCTGGAACTTATCTATACTCATTTTTTTGAATGGTTTGGGACCTCTGCTAAGGTGGGATTAAGCTCACCAAAGAGTTGTGAACAAACAAAAACAAAAGAAGTTCACGTCATAATTGTTAAAGTTCGTTAAAAAAATGAAGAGAGAATTTCGACGGTAAAGAGGCAACACCTTATGTCAATTATTTTCTATTAAATCATGATTATCCTAAATTAATTGCATTGAATATGA